GACCAGATAATGATCGAAGCAGTAAAACTGGTAGTGAGAGTAAAGAACTTTTTAATATTTGCCTTTTTAATAGTTCTGTACCAGTGAGTTGGAACGATGTATTAATGGTACTAATATATAAAAACGATTGAAAAAACTAGACTTTTAGCAACCTGTAGCGCAAGACAGATTTAGGTCAGACTAGGAAACAAACGATCACGTAATTGTGCTTAAATTACTAATAAAAAAAAACGATAGAAACGGATACAATAATGGTGACAGAACAATAATGGAAACAGAAGTTGGGAGGAGACGATACAATGTCCCCAACGCTAGTCGCCGCCACTTAAATATGCCTTTAAAATATTAGACAGTTCGAACATTGGCATTAAGATCGATAGAAAAATGTAACGCAATAATGATTGAATAACTGAAATAGGCGGCAGAGAAAGTTGGATTAAAGATAAACCAACAAAAAATGAACTTTATGGCCTTTTTAATCTTGGAGGCTCCATCACACCGGATAATCATGTTGTGAAGGATGTTGGCGAGTATAAATATTTGTTCCATGAAATAAGAATTAGTAGAGATAACCAGACGCGAAATTTACCAGAAGAATAGGATGGGAACTGAAAGACTCACTCTGACTAAAAATGTCGTATCCAGACTCAGAGGCGCTCAAAGAAAACTGGAAAGACGGACCAATGCTGAGTATCAAGCTGTAAGATCGTATAAGAATTATCACACTTAACCAAAACTTATACAAGAAGGGGGGGAACACATCCATTACGTTCGAGCGATGACATTGGACTCAGACTGCTCAAAACCGAGCAAAATGGAAGCTTTTGGGGATGGCCTATATTTAGCAATGGACTCAACAAGCTGGATGATAATGGTGGATGTCTAAATTCTCGAACAACTTGGTTTAATGGAATTAAATAAAGACCGATGTGTCATTAGAAAATAATAATAAATATAATAATAACAATCTATATATATCAAAATCAATTGCTGTTCGTTAGTTTCTCTTAAAACTCGGCAGAACGAATTCATCTGGAATAGCTGCGACTCTGCTTGAAGATGGACGAACTGCACATTCTTGAAATTACCATTAAATATGCAAATCACCGAAACACCAATTTGCAACATCGCGAAAAATAGTGCAATGGCCTAGATCCTACAGTTCTGCAAATTTATTGTTTGGGATGAACGCACAATGGCCCATAAGAGGTCACTGGAGGCACTGGACAGAACGTTGAAAGATCTTCGTGACAACTAAAATATTTTTGGTGGGACCATGATTCTGTTGTCATGTGATTTTCGTCAGACACTTCCAGTTCAACTGTTGCTGATGATCTAAATGCATGCCCTAAATGGCAGTATGTAAAGACACTCCAATTAACAACTAACATGCGAGAATTTTTTCAACAAGATGAAACTGCAAATGTGTTTGCGAAGCAATTGTTAGATTACAGATTTTTGTCACATCACAGACTCAAAAGAGATATAGCGCAAAAGTTCAACAACCATAATTGGCGGCGAAAAATAAAGATGTCGGATCTCAATGCGACCATTCAGAATTTTCTTCCAGGACAGTTGCTTTCCTTCAAATCAGTCGACACCGTTATCAACCAGGATGACGTAGTCAACTATCCCAAGAAGTTTTTAAGTTCACCGGAATTGTCTGGATTACTACCTCACAATTTGCAGTTAAAAGTAGGATTAGTTGTCATCATGCTGCGTAACATTAATCAACCTCGACTGTGCAATGGAACAAGACTTATACCTTATAAATAGTCAGTATTTCAGGAAAACTCTGTTTTGTAAGTAAGCAACATGAAGTGTCGAAAATAATAATCAAATTTCATGCTTCATTCAAAATTTTCAAAAAATTATTAAATTCGGATTGGTTTTGTTTGTTTTAAGATTATTTAATACAAAAGTTTAGGTGTTTTATTTATCTATTGAGGCAGTACGAAGTCTGTCGGGTCAGCTAGTAAATAAATAAATTCTAAATTTTAAATAAAATAAATTATAAATAATTGACGCGCTGTATATTTTTACGTTTTTGAATTTCTGAGATAATTCTATCCAGAAGCATCCAGCGACATTTTTACTACAGAGCTCTGTAATTCCGTATATTAAACCCGGCAAAAAATGGTAACATGCGGAGGTATTTTTCTAAAGCGGAGATTCCCGTTCCTTCTATGTTGTTTTCGTCTCTTTGGTTTATCGTTTCGTATTCATTTTTGTTTTATCCTTTGTTGCGTCATATATATATATATATATATATATATATATATATATATATATATATATATATATATATATATATATATATATATATATATATATATATATATATATATATATATATATATATATATATATATATATATATATAGCCCCGTTTCTCCTAGAAAACATTTTTTCGAAAACAGTGTGCACTTCGCACGTAAAAAAAATTACACGTCACGAAAAGTTGGGATTGCAAAACGAACGAAATTTTCATTTCTTCCGTTGCGCAGAGGGCAATTAAAATTAATTAAAATATCATAGATGACACCTCGTGCCTGAATTATATTTTAGTCAAATGTACTGGGTGTCCTAAATTTACAACAATATTCAAAATCGAGAAAATCAGCAATTTCTTTTGAATTTTTTTCCGGTTCTATTATAATTTAAAAAAGACACACTTTATCATTGCAATTATTAAGTATGACGTTTCGGTTTTGTATTATCAATTTCATTTTTTTATTAATGTTTGGTAGGCTTGTGGAATAATAAAATTGTCCGTACAATAATACACGAAGGATATTAAATAATATTTTCGAACAGTTATAACAAAATAAAAGAAAATTTCTTTTGATCATAAATTGCTTACTTTGTCCCGAGTTCTTGCTATAAAGGGTGTTTTTATGGTTTTTATTGAACTCTGTAGAAAAATATCTAAATATGTAAAATATTAGAAGATTCTTTCTTTTGCACATCAGTTGCAAATTAACAATGAACAGAGTGAAGTAAAATAAAGATATATGAAATTCGAAGAAAAATGGAAGCACAAATGGGTATAATACTGCTAGAATCTTTTTAAAAAACCCTCAAAAGAGTGTAAATATAGCATGTTTGAAAAAAAAAGTAATAAGCAGATTTGGGGTTCTTTCTCAACCATTGGCATTCCGATATCAAATTTTGAGCCATATTCCCAAGAATCAAGAAAATTGCATTTTAATTTGTTTTTCCCCAGGTTTCAGATGAAGCCCAAGAAGCATGCAATAAAGTTTTTAAAGAGAAGCTACTTCAAAATAGAGAGTCCTTTTCTCTATGTCTTTGTTTCTAATGATGAAGGTCCCTTTTCTGGGTGCGAAAGTTATTTAAAAAAAAATAAATTTATCATCAACTAATGGTGACACCTTACATTCTAAACTAAACACCTTTAGTTGATTGATTTAAGATAAACGCGTAACGTTCATCCCTCAGCATTGAACCCCAAATATCGATTTGTGAGAAATGTTCGAACCCTGAGGCTTGCAGCCGCCGGCTAGTGTACACGTTGGACTGTACCTTGTTCGCATTGCCCATGAGTTACCATTTACATGTCCTCTGATCCGGGAAAGCTTTCTTTTTGACAATGAACCCGATCTAAACTCGAATGTTTACGGTATGGAAACAATATCCATTGTGTGCGAGTGCGACAAATTTTATTTAGAGTGAGATGGGTAGTAACGAGGATTCTTAATTAATGGCGGCTTTTTATTGTTTTTCTTTTTTTTTGCATTGGCCTCTGTCCATTTGGTTTTATAAATAAATAATAACAATTATACTTCCATTGAAAAATGTCGTGGTTCCATGAAAAAATCGATTTTTCCATTGATAACTATGAAACTATTAATTTTAAAAATATTATATTATATAGAAAGGTGTTTTGCAAGTGTTTCTATAGACCCATAAAAATTTTCAAAAAAATTACCAAAAGCACCCTAACACCCTGAAGTAGTAACAGGAAAATTGTGCCCTAAACACATATTTAGGAAGGAGAGTTTTCTTATAACAGTTATTGATTATTAATAAGTTTTTTTTATTTTTTAGGCTGTAGAGATGCGTTTTTTTTAATTGTACAGAATAATATAGTGCATTTTCCAGATATTAATATTTTTTAGGAAGGTTTGTCTCGGGCTTTTTAAAAATGATTTTTTTTACTTTTGTCTGCAATATGCGTTTGGTAGTTTCTGTTCATTCTTAAGTTCACTATTGGTAATTTGTTTATAATGTGTTCAGGTTTCAAAGTAATTTATGAATGAATGATCGGGTCTCTTTTTGTAACGTCATTGCGCTGAAAATGAAAAGAACTGCTTTTACGTGTTTCCAAGGGTGCATCAATAAAATGTAACGGTGAAGTTGGTATTAAAACTATCGCTGATCGAGTATAGTTCGTATGTAAGGTTGCTGGTAAGAACGACAGTTCCACGTTACACGTATAGAGGAAAAATTTACTCGGATGAGAAAAAAAAAAACACCTTAACGCCGATCATTTCCATCCAACCCGGGGGCTGGTTTTATTCGCCCCCTTAAAAATGCAAAATCCCGTCGCGTACAGCCCTTAAAAGCGTGTCACGTACTCAATAAAATTGTAAATTAATCCGGGTTAATTATGGTCGCGTAGCGTTATATATATATGGGAAGAAAAACGTGGCGGGCTGTATAAACAGTGAGTTTTTTTATGTTTCCGTCACGTTTTGTCAACATTTTTTTAAAAATCATTTTAGGTTATGCGTCTCATGCACCTCTATCGCCGACGCACTATTGAGACACCCGGTATATTATATTTTCCCGCCAAAAATCCGTATTGACAGAACGAAGGAACGTTAGTACCCCAGCAAAAAAAAATGCACTAGCAAGAATAATGAGTACCGATATAACCAAGAACTTTGGATATCATATATACAAGGGCGCTTCAAAATGTGGCAGAACGCTTCACTGAGTTATTCGGAGTAGTGCATTTGATTAGCAATCGAACTTACTTTCTTTTCGGTCATCACGTAGAGATGCATGAGTTGGGAGTCGAAATGCAAATCCTGATTGACCGGCGATCCTTCTTCGACGATTATGTCGCCATATTCAAGCCCGGATGTTTGAGATTCGACAACGACCTGAAACAAGAAACGAAAACAATGTTTAGTGGCTGAAAACGGTATAAGAAAGGGCAAATGTTTAAAAAGATAAAAAAAAAGAGTAACTTTTGGCCAATCTAATAACCAGCAAAGGGTATCGTTGTTGAAAAGTCTTCCCTTAGTAATTTATACCATTTTTAAACAATCAATTATTATTTTGCGAATAATTAAAACCTAGTTAGTTAATCTAATAACCGACAAAATGGCTCGTTTTTGGAAAGTTTTCCCTAAGTAATTTATACAATTTTTAAAAAACAAACCCTCAATTTCATCAATCAACAATTTAATAAAATTAAATAATTTTCAAAAATTATCATTTTGCGAATAATTAAATGTGTTTTTCACACTATTTTACCACCTTTTTTCTATTAACCAGTAATTATTTGTATTTAGTTACTAGTTAGTTAATCTAATAACCGACAAAAGGACTCTTTTTGGAAAGTTTTTCCTTAGTAATTTATTCAATTTTTTGAAAAATAAACCCTCAATTTCATCAATCAACGCTTTAAAAAAATTAAATAATTTTCAAAAATTATTATTTTGCGAATAATTAAATGTGTTTTTCACACTATTTTACCACCTTTTTTCCATTTATCAGTAATTATTTGTCTTAAGTTACAATTTCTCAGCTCTGAGTTTTATTATAGGGCAAACAAGCAGATGTAAATAACTGACAGTGTTACTAAATTACACTGTAAAACTAAGCTAACCAAAACTAACCAAAACTTGAATTGAAAAAAACTCATGTTAATTTTATCGAAACTTATAAGTGCTGCAAAACTGTTATATAAAAAAATATTATCATACCCACGAACTTTTTGGTTGTAATAATATACCAAAAATTAGTTTGTAAATACTTTATAGATTTGATTGATCCATGTATGAGAAACTTCAAGTTCACTGGATCAAACCTAGAACATTAATTGTAAAAACCTTTTACTAGATTAAGCCGCCTTATAAATTCAAATTAAGTTCAAGGATCAAAAACATTTAATCCACTAAGTGCCCTCACTAAATCATTAGTTGAAAAAAATTCTTAAAGCTAATTAAAATTAAAAAAGAAATAAAAATAAATGAATGAATGAACAAATGACAAGCTATTCGATTACAATGCTAGTCTACAAGAACCTACGTAACTTAAAATGGTCCCTCAGATAAACTAATACTAAATAGGTATAATATGTTGTTAATATAAATTCTTTTGATAGTTTGGGATTTGTATTTTTTTTAAATTAAAAAGTATTTCTCTTAAAATTTCAATTTACCTCTAATCCAGCAGTGTCTGCCTTTCCTCGCGGTATCATACTTTTGGGTTTGTGAATCAAAACTTTGTTTTTTTCTTGTTGCATTTTTATAATAATAACCATTTTGCACATATTTGCGTATATTTTGAATGTAAGGTTGCTGATTATTGTATTTTTGTATTTTTTACAATATTAAGATGTATTTCTCTATATATTTCGATCCAGCTCAAATCCAGTAGTGTCTGTCTTTCCTTGTGATGTTCAGAATCATTCAGCATCTTACTTTTGGGATTTTAAGTCAAAGTTTTTTTCTGTTACAACTTATTTATTTAAAAATGTAATAATAGTGCTGAGGATAGGATTCGTTGCTGGTTGCTTTAATACGGGTTTACCGTTTTAATATAAAACCCGAACTAGCTTCCCCAATGGAGGAGAACTTTAAACTAATTGTCATCTTCGTGGTTAGTTTTTCTAGATTTCTCTTGATCAAAAAGTGTTATCATTTATAATTCAATTAATGTTTGCGTCTATGGAGTTTAGAAAACATATCTCTTGCATAGTTTCGATTTTAGCTAGAACTTTCAATGGCTAGTTTTTCTAAATGTTAAAAATATTAGCCACGGCAGCTGTTCCTAATTTTTATTCCTAAATTGGTCTGTGCATTATGTTCCAGATAAGCATTTTTCGATTCAATTACGGGAGATGATGTTTGAGATGATGCGAAGTGTTTCAGGAATAGGATAATTAGTTATTGTGTTTTTCTTGTTTATTTATTATTATTTTATTTATTTAAAAGAAAAACTTAACATTTTATATACAAGAAAACAAAAAAAAACAAACTCCTGGACCAAAATCCAAAAAGGTTTCAACTTTGTCCTTGCCCCACGTATTATCCCAAAAGAGAAAATCATTTTATATCATATCGAGTCTATCCTAAACAACCTGCCATCTCAAACAGCTAATGAAATTCCATTTGAAACCGCAAAAATCAAAACATCGTAATTCAAAAAGCAGATAAAGGAAATGCTACCTATGGTGGTCATGAACGCCACTGACCATCAGCAAAAAAATCAAGATATTCTTACTTATCGGCAGCTTACCTCATATGGAACGCGACCCTTAATCTGTTATAAAGGTTTCTTCTCTATCAGTATCCGTGAAAAATTCTGTCACCCCTCATGAAAAACAATCCAGGATTACCCCTTCGACCTTTTGTCAGCACTAATATCTAGCTTCTAAATTAAAACCCTTTACAGGGAAAACTGATAGTTTCGTTCTAAATTCCTTTCATTTCACTGAACAATTAAAAACTATATGATCGAAACGATATTTTATTTCAAAATTGAGTCCCTCTTTACTAAAGTTCCTACTACTGAAACTCTCAACATTATTTCAGATATATTAAAATAATATGGAAGCCAACTTTCTTATTTTACTTGAAAAATGCATGTCTGGAACATGTTTTTCTTATAACGGTAAACTATGGGTTTCTTTGTTATTTGGTCCTATGGTCAAGAATCCATCCACTTTGGGTCGTTCTGTTGACAAAAAACCTACGCACACAGACCCATACCTCAATGCATTTTCATATCATCCGTCTTAACCAGAATCACTGCACCCTAAATTAAAACACCTTACATCTATTTTTCTCTCTAGTATTTTCTACATTAGAGATATTTAGGGATTCATCACCAAATAGATTTAACAACAATCTTTCAAAAACAACGAATGCAAACCCAACCCCATACTTGCAACTGTTGCCCTTCCTTACATTCAAAACATCACTGACCACATATTCAAAGTTCTCAAGAAATAAGATGTTAAGACCAGATTTAATATTTGTCCAAAATTCTCTCAACATCTTCGATCCGCCAAAGACCAAATTTAGTTTGAGATACCAAGAAAAATATCAACTAGGCTCAAAGAACATGAAAGAGCCTTAAGGCTACGACAAATATACCCATCATCAGTTGTCGAACACAAATAATTATCCGAGACAATGTTCATGCCCCTCCTTTAGCTCCGCCCACCTCAGGCAATATATAAGCAGGAATAGAGTAAAATAAGAGCCAGTTTCAGTTCAGCTCTGAGGAAGCGAACGAAATATTAGCAAGGTTCGTTATCAAAAATAAATATTTTTAAACGTTTTTCGTAATTAAGTAAATGTCGAGGTAAAAGTAGCAACTGTTTTTTTCTTGTATTAGCACTATTTAGCTCCCTACAAGGTACAAGGTTCTTAGACAAATAAGATGGCTGATTGGTTTTTGATGTTTTGAAAAGTATCTCAAAGATTATTCTGTATTATTAGATTATGAACCTGTCATACTGTCAAATATTGTAAGAAAATCTGAAGCAATTCTGAACAATAACGGGATATTCGATGTCAAAACTAACTAGAATGTAGTCTGTATATAACTTTATACTTTTTAGTTTTTTTACCAAAGAGCTTGTTTTGTGTCATACACATTTTGATGCACCCCGCATAATTCGACGTTATAAACCGAGAAGTTTTAGAGCTTCAGAAAAGTGCAAAAGGTTCTATCAAATAACCGAAATGACGGCCACCCGATGAATTTAAATTTCAAATTGAGTATTTTAAAATATCGAAGGAGTATTAGGGAAACGATTTTTTGCTGATGCAGTTCGCCGTTTACCAACGAGTGGAATATTAAGTGGGTTTGAATTTTAGCGGTAATTATACGCCGACGATTTCTAAAGAACAATTACGGTGGTTGGATTTTTCATTCAAATGTTTAGTTTCGCTTTATCGGTTTGTCTAGCCGAAATGTTTTACAACTACGTATACCGTTTCGAGTGTTTTGCAAAATCGGTTCCAAGTTGTTTGTTGTGACGATTCCAACGAAGCTAATAATTTCGTTAAAACGACTAACGAGCAAATCGTTATATATGTCCACATTCGATTGATTGGGCACCAGGTTTTATGAAATTAGGTCATTGAATCCACGACGCGGAAAACAAATATACAGGACTATTGATTCCAAATTCTAACAGCAATATTATTTGACTTATGGCGATCGGCGTAATGTTATAATTCTCTCTCATATTTGATAATCGCATTTTGCAATGTTAATGTTTACATGGCGGTTCTTGTTCTAGTATTTTATTGGAAATGTCTCGACAAAATTACTTGTTATGGTGGGGGAGGGAATTGACTTCAAAGTTACGCGATTTGCGAAAGTAAAGCGCACTAGTTTTAATAACGGCGTTTCTTCGAAACTTAAGTTCAACGGTACATCAAACGACACACCTTTGGCATGACTTAATGAATAAGAAGTTTGCGCCCTCTGAGCAGTTCTATAAAAGCTTATTGGAAAGCGTTTCTCAGTATTTAATTTAATATTGTTTACCAGATGTCGGTCCCAGGGTCCATCTCTTTGTAATGAAAGTGAGTGGCGTGACCGTGTATAAAAAATATAGTTTTTAAATAAGCGTTTTCCCATTTGCAAGCTAAGTCTTTTTTAAACAATTCCAATGGATACATGCAACTACTTATATGTGAGAGACGAAGAAAATGCAATATCAATGCAATGCAATATTTTGTTATTAATTATTAATTATTAGGTTATTACATTAGAACAGGGAGGGCTCGGGTAAAGTCTGTTCATAGATATAAGAAAGTGACTAACTGATACGAATTAAGGAAGGACCCGGGCAAGCTGTAAAAACGAAATATGGCCGAACAGGTCCGTATTTTACTTAGAATTTAATTATTTG